GCGATTGTTTTCGTAAATACGCTCCTTCTCCCGCTTGGGCCTCACACTCAGTTTTGTTGTTGAAAAGCACGTTTTGTCCCTACCACTCGCTCACTATTACTATCCACTCTCTCACTCTCAACCTAAGCGGCTGCTTACTCGTTTAAGAAAATTTTGCGGCGAATTCAGATTTAAACAAGGTAGCGTACAATTTTACACAACACAAAAAGGTAACAGCAAAACTTGTTTATTTAATTATGCACGGCAAATATGTATGTATGTGTGTAAGGCATGGGTATGAAGAGATTTGGAAAATATTATTAAATTTTTAATCAAAAATTACTGAACTTATTAAATAAACATGATGAAATACTCGTACATATTCGCAAAAATGTATAGTAATCCGCATATCTCTCTCATTCTCTCTCTCTCTCCCTCCTCCCTTCGCTACCCAGAACCTAAAGCCTCCTTACACCATCAACAACAGCAATAATTGCAGGTGGTGGTGTTGCCACACAATTGCGTCACCGCTCATCATTCGCTGCGGCTCCTATTACTTGTTTGCGCCATAACGAAGGCAATGATGATAATGATGTTGTTGGTGGCGAATTGAAATGTCTGCAACATCTACCGGTTGCAAGTCAGTTGCTCCGCAGACAGCAAAGCATAAGCTTTTGTTTCGTTTAACGCGTTCAGAAAATGTTTCAACAATATGATAGTAAGAAAAGAAATAAAAATACAATACAACAGCGCACACATATGCAAAAGCAAAAACAATGCAGCGAATTTCGGTAGAAGAAAAAGTGACGAAAATCAATTGAAAACGTATTCTAATGAAAATGTCTACACAATGAACAAACAAGCAAACAAACAAACGAATAAACACACACACACACACGAACTCACTTGAGGAGGGAGGGAGTGTGTGTGTGTGTGTGTGTGTGTGTCTCATTAGCATACATATGTACATATAAAATCGCGCATAAATACCTATGCATCAGTAAGTAGTGGCGAATTTTGGCATGCAAAGAAACAGCAATAAGAAATCCATTCTCTTAAGGAATTGTGAATAGTGCAGAAAAAACGACAACAGTAACAACAACAAATTCAAAAAGCATACAAAATAAATCTTGCAACTCGCCAACAGCTAAACCCTACTTATTCATATGCCGGTGTATGAAGCAAAACACAAAGAAAAAACAATATGTGCGGCGTCGTTTATCGTGAAAAAGCAGTGGAAAGAGAAAAATTCGTAAAAATAAAGAAAAAATAGTAGCAAATTCCAGAGTTAAGTTTACAGTAAGTTTTATTTTTTGAGAAAAACAATAAAAGCAAAGTGATGAAATGCTTATTGTAAATAAATAAAGTTGAATGTAATATGAAATAATATAAACAAAAAAATTAGCCAAACAAATGAATTAAAATTTTATAGATAATTGAAATTTGGTGAAACAAATAACATGAAAATGACAGCAGGAAAAGTTGCGAAAATATTTTTAGGCGAATCAAAAAATTGTTAGTACTGATGCCATAAATAAATATGGTTCAAAAACTATCCTTTAAAAATTCAAATGGAAATACAAAAAAAATATTACTTATGTTAATTCAAAATGGTTTGAAATTCTAGCATTGCTAAAGTGATTGATGGTAATATTACTAAAAAAAATAAATAGTTATAAATTATCATTACAAATTATTTAAGTAATAATTAATTTAAAAAATATAATGTTTTTAGTAAAGAAATTATATATTAATTAAGTTCAAAATTAATTAAAAGAAAAAATTTCTAAAAAAAAATCGGAAAAATGTAAAAAAAACTTAAAAAGTTGTAAAGTTCTTCAATTTGAATTCATCAACTTGTAATGTCATCAATAGAGAATCTGTTGCAAAATATACATAAAGTTGGATCACCCATCGAGGTTCTCTGCTTTTTTAGAGAAAAAATTCAAATTTATTGGAAAGTGTTTGTTATCATTCAAAAGAACATTATTTGGCATCTATTTTTCTGAAGGTTATTTATTTCTACTGTTGGCCGTGGTTCCGTCTCAGATGTTCCATCCATTGAGACCAATTTGCGTTGACTCGTTCGAGCATTTCGACTAGGAACTGACGAATGACACGCGTGATGTCGAAGAGGGGTTGTCTTCATAAACTTTACACTTACACATCCCCACAGAAAAGAGTCTAACGGTATGATATCACACGATGTGAATTTATCTGCTCACCGAAATATTCTCTCAATAAATTCGTTGGTTGATGCGATTTGTGGGAAGTGGCGCCGTTTTGTTGAAACCGAATGTCGCAGGGATAACGAGCTTCACTTTCAGGCATCAAATAGTTCATGGCACGGGGTTACGTTCGCAACGGTACCATTTTTTAAAAAATATGACTCCAGCGGCCCACAAACCACACCAAACCGTTGTGTTTCCTTAATGAACTGACAGCTCTTGAATTTCTTCAGGTTGCTCTTCGTCCAACTGAGGCCTTACTCTTCTAATACCTCCACCAGCTGGTATTACATCGAATACTTTTTAAGCAGACGTATTAGCATACCACTGGACGACATGACATAGCGAACCTGTCCGTTTCTCAATTCACAGAAAATGAGAATGACGTCGTATATCTCGCCACTCCACCGCGAAAAGTAGGGGACGTAATACTACTTCCTCGAAATACCCACTCATCGGATTATGTCATAAAAGAAAATTCCTGATCGATATGGACGAAAAGTATCAGTAGCTTGTAGAGCTTAATCTTAGTTCGTCCAGTTAGAATTATTATTTTCAAATGTCCAGCTAAAGTTATTCTGCCTTGCATTTTAAAGCTTACATTGTGGTTGGCCTTTTAGCTGGCTTCAAGATAGACGAAATTGTTTATTTGATCACAGTAGACATTTGATCTTCTACCCTTAACTAACGCTAAGGTGTCTGAGGCCAACACATTCAATCTAGCTGATTTAAGAGTTTCAGATACCCTTTAAGAGATTGTCTATAAACCAAATGGTCAAATTTTAGCCTTCCGAAACCACTCCTACTCAATTCAAGTAGCCCGACGTTGCCTTCTCTTTGATACCTCCCTCCCATACCTGATAGAACGCGGTTTTATAACAAAAAAATATTCTGTTCATAACCTCTGAGGGGTCTAGAAGTCTTTGAATATCAAAATGATACCCGTACACAGCTTTCCAATGTTTTTTTTATCATTCGCATTCATCTTTTTTTAAAATCTCACATAGAGTCTACAACTCTTCTAGCCATCAATGGCAGCAACGTGATCTTGAAAAACCCCAAAAGAATAGCATATGAAACTCTAATCCAAACTCACACTAGGCCCTTGAGATGATCATTTCATTTATTAAAAACCACTTCAAAGATAATTTTTCAGCCAACAAGTTTTTCCTACAAGATTTGCAAAACTAAAGTTCATGACTCCTACCACTCCTACTTCGTGTATCCGCAAAATGCTGCATCAAAAAAAGGCCGAAAGCCCGAGTAACAAAAACTTAGTTACGTCATGGCCACGATTCGCCAACAAATACAGCAATCAGCATAGTGAAGTGTGTGTGTGTGTGTGTGTGTGTGTGTGTGTGTGTGTGTAACTGGCATGGAACAGAGTACAAGAAGAGAAAAAGTAAAAAAAATAAAAATAACTGGTTTCATAAAAAAAGGAAATAAACAAACAAGTTAAAGGAAACGAAAAAACCTAATGACCATCATCACCAGCACCAGCGCCGCGGCCAAAGAACAATCAAGTGGATGTGCACCTACTTTGTATGTAATTACCGTTGGAGATTTTAAGAGAAATATAATACTGAAGGCTACACTTCCTATAATGAGTAAAACTGGAAATAGGGGAATCCACAAGATAGATCTCTTGTTCGTCCTCTGAACTCAACTGGACTTTTTTGGGGAGACCAAATTATGAAAGAAGAAGGCCTTTAGGTCAACAACTCTCGTAACTTCGTCCCAAGAAAGTTGTTAGCTGTATGGTATCAGTGTGGGTACGGTGATGCATTTAGCCCCGAACACTTCCTAGATCGTGCTTGCAGCTTCTGTAGCATCTCCAAAATTTATTTGTGTATGCCGTCCTATCATGTTGTGGCATGTCTACTCTTTTGACGGTGTACATTTCATGCTTTGAAGCAGTGGAATGTCAATACTTCTAATATGATAGAGATTTTCACTCCCTACCAAATCTTCCATTAGTGTTCGGATCATACATATTAAGCGAGGGGTTTTCTAATGAGAGGTGTTAAAAGGAGATTAAGAAAAGTTAAAAAAAAACTTGATATGAATGATTAGGTCTGACCGAAAAATGATGGGATATCAATATAACTTTACCTGCAGACATACATATGTTAATCTTTTAAAACATACTAACAAAATAAAAATAAATATTCTCAAACCACCAAATTCCTATATATGTATGTAACTGTGAAGATTATAATGAACTCCATAATTTGGTAACGAAACAACTGACAAGTTGTTGAGACCACCACCTTAGGGTAGTGTGAACACAGCTTAACCTGTGGACTGCACAGATCCACTCCAACCTAATAATAAAAAATATATTCTATTCCTTAGCGAGAAATCATTTTTGACCTTTACCAAAAAACATCTGTACATACACACACAAACATTTCACTCATAACTTTGGACCATCAAACTCTGAATGAAAACCACATGCCACATCAGACTAATTGTGGCAGCACCAAAGACAAAAATAACAACAACCAAAAACACAGGAGAGGCAATAAAAGACAAGCGAGCAGTAGGAACCTCAAGCGGAAATAAAAAAATGTGTGAGTTTAGTGTTGACAGCAGAAGAATTAATATTGAAAATATGAAGCAAGACAGACAAAGAGGAATCAAAAGAAAATTTAAATAAGTTTTGTGGTATTAGAGAAATTAATATAAAAATTATTTAATAAAAAAGCAAAAAAATCAAGCGTAAGATTTTATTACGAAAATGTATGTAGAAAGAGTGCGAATGAGAGAGAGAGAGAGTGTGTGTAATAAAATTTAAATGGAGGAAACGAAAACTGAACGGAAATAATGACGAAATAAATGTGGTTAAACTAACAACAGCAACAACAATAGATGAGGAAGTGTGAACTAACAATACCACGAAGAGTCAAACAAAAATAGAAAGTATCAAAAAAACAACTATTGATGCTATAAAAATACGAGAAACTTGTTTGCAAAGAGCGCCAGAGAGTGCGGCTGTGCTTTACAAGTCAGATGAGCAGAGAGCGCCAAATAAAAGCTAAAAAAAAGCTGCATACGAAGCGCATAAGCGAATGTACGGCATAAACGATGATGTTGACTGCGACGATGTCTGCTGTGTGACTCCGACAACAACGACGACGACGACGAAACAACCACCGACAACCACCAGCGCATAGTCAACAACACCAACAGCTACACCAATAACAACAATAAAGCAACAATTAAACTACAACAACAATATCATAGTTTTAGCAGCAACAACGACAACAACAAGAACAACTCGATTTCTTTGCCACTCACCAGCATTTTATTATTATTGTATTATTATCATCAGCATACAGCAATCGAGTTGAGCACCACAGCGCACAGAACAACCAGCCAGCCAGCCACAGCGCTGAGGCTAGCAAGTTCGTTTGATAGCTGGTTAGCTGACTGACTGGCTTGCTGGCTGGTTAGTCGCTTGACCGTTTCAACGAGGTGGTTGCATGGCTCAGTCGCTGAATGCCCATCAGGCGCGTCGGTTGTATGAAATTTCAACGTTGTGTTATTATTCCATTTCTTTTCCGGCAAGACGACGTGTGAAATATTTACAACAGTAATTAAGCTTAAAAAAATAGATTACCACAAATATACATTACTGCGCAGGTAGATGTACAAAAAAAGCGTACTAAACGTTTGAATAAAATTACAAAAAAAATAAAAAATAACAAATACATTGTGATAAGGTTAAGTAAAAAAAAAAAACAGAAAAATATTAGCGAAAATTAAAAAAAAAAAAAAAAATCTAAAAAAAATTTGGTACTGACAAATTTTTGTCTCGGCACCGTCTAGAAATGGCTAGTTTGCGTACACTTGGGCTATTTTCGTTAGCTTATAATAATACTTGCTAACGTACTGACAGTATAGTTTTTGTGCGATAATTATAAAAAAAATTGTTTCACATTTTTTTTTTTTTTTGCGCCTTCCGCCGAGACGACGCAAACAAAGTCTGTCTGCGTTGAAGAATTATTTACAACAACAAGTTATAAGATAAATAAATATGAGTGGCATGAAATAAATATATAACAAATTCCTTCGCATTATACATACATATATACAAAATAAATATAATTTTTGCTTGTATTGGTGCGATAATTTTACGTAATTGTGCGACGGCAGCCAGACAGTGGTTTGAAAACAACAAAAAAGTACGAAATTATTAAAATAGCAATAATAATTATGCACAGCTAAAAAGCGATGCGGTGCAGGCAGACAAGTTGATTGTATCTCGAAATTAAATTAATTGCTATGATTTCGAAGCAAAAACATTACATTTATTAACAAAAATTGTAATAAGAGGAAAGCTGGAGTAAAAAGGCCAAAAAAATAAACTGAAATTAATACAACTGGTTGAGACTAATTCGCACAGAAAGCGAAATAAGTTTTGAATGAAAAAAAAAAACCAAAATTATTGCAAATAAAAAATCATTAAATTAATAATATAAACATAAACTTTAAGCTGAAAAAAAAATTATTGCAACTTTTTGAAAGGTTATCTCAAACATTAAAAAATCTTATCAACTCAAGCGTGTAGAAGACTGCACAAAAAAAAATAAAAAAAAATTGTTTGTATAGAAATGTATGCTTCACACACACATTTACTTAGATAAATAGTGTATCTGTCTGCGTTCCTGTTAATCAATCATTCCTAAGCTACAAATAAGCGTAAAAATAAATAATTAAACAAAAAGCACACACACACTTAAAACAAAATAGCACGTAATAACAAAAGCAACAAGTTTCCAAAAGACACACACAGCAAAAAATAAGTTGAAATAACAGCGGCATAAAATAACAATATGATACAATAACAGTAAGAATATAAAAATAAAATAAATAAATTTGGTAACAGCTAAAATTACTATTTGTTAAGTGCTACAGCAATAATATTTCACTAAAAAATGTACACAATAGAAAAGACTTGCAGCTAACCGTACAATTACAAAAATAACAGCAGCAACAACAACATACAAAACCTCTGAAAACTTATTGCAATAAGAGAAAAACATGAAAAATATAATTTAAAAAATAACAAAACAAAAAAATCAGCACACACTACTACCCAATAAACCCCCATTAGACTAAACAAAAATTATAATAATATCATTTATTCAATATAAAAAAAGTGTACGTTTTTATATAGTCTATAAATAATTAATCTAAATTTTTTGTTTAAAATTTTCAACAATAGTCAACGCAACAAAGCAAATGTGTTAGTAGCAGAGTAAAAAGTTGAATGCCATCGCCTCAGCATTTGCAAGTGGAAATTTTCAAGTGTGCAATTGCGCAAAAAAAAGTAGAGAAAAAAATCACTTACATACACACATACTCAAAAAGTTATTAAAATTATCAATTGAAAATTTTTAAAATAAAAATTAAACAAAGCGCAGTATAACATTAATCAATGACACGCCACAGCAGTAGCCAGCAGCAAAAATAATCAGCAAGCAGTAAGTTTCTAGTTCGTTTTTAATTTTATTTTTATTTATTTTTTTTTATTTTCTTTTTTTTTTTTGCATTTGTTATCAATCAACGTATTGAATAGTCACAACACACAAAAGTGAACTTTTTAATATATTGCACGTATATACATATATATACGTTTATAGTATATATGTATTTTTTATTTTATTTTGTTTTGGGCCGTAAAAAACATGCCTACCCAAAATATTTGTAAAATAAAATGAAATAAATTAATTAAATTAAATAAAAAAAGAATAAAGAATAAAACAGATAAAAAATAAAAATCAACAATGAATTAACTCAATAAAATAAAAAATGGTTAAATTATGTTCATAAAATGTAATATAAAAAATAAATAAAAAAACTAAGATAAAATAAAATAAAACTAAATATCATAAAGTATTAAAAATTATAATTTAAATGAAATGGATTAATGTAATATTATATATAGTAATACAATATCTCCAGTTCCAAGCCAAGCTGTCATTAAATCTCCTTTTTGCAATCACACCACCTCAAAGGTGTGTGGGCAACAATCGTGGTTGGATCCCCGGTGATAGCGATATCCCAAGAAACTCTCAACCCTTTACCAAACCATCTTAATCATGGTGAGCTTTGCACCTTTTTCCTCTGTCAAATACCTACTCAGATGGATACTCACCAGCAAGGCCAATAGAAGATTGCAGGGTGAAACCACACACAATGTAATCAGGCGAATCAGACCATTGATCCATACAAAAATAACTGAGTCTCTACTCCATCTAAACAGAACTTCGCCGGGCATAGCAACCGGCATTATTACTGGATACTGTTTGATAGTAACTTACAGTAGAGTGTTTGGCTATTTCTGTAATGACTTCTGCCGCTGCTGCAGAGACAAAGACACTGCGCCGTCCTAAGTGCAAGCCGACACCGTTTCCTTGGTAATTTCTACTTTGACCGCCTTGCAGAAATTGCGTCTGCAAATGACCATAATCCGCAGTGTCTCTTAAACAAAGCAGGTGAGAGACGCTGTATTGGAGCAACAAAACTAACTCACTAATATTGCTAATCAAATTAAAAAAATTAGTTTAAATAAGTCAAAATAAAAACAAAGTAATATATAACCAAAACTAATTAAAAAGAAAAAAAATTATAAATATCATAAAAAAACAAAAAGGAAAAAAAGATAAATATAAATAAAAGGAAACAAAACAGTATATAATATTTTAATAATACACAAATAATACAATTAAAAATAGATAAACTAAATTAAATAAATAAAAAAATAGAACATAAATTAAGATAAAATAAGAAAATAATAAAAAAACAAAAAATAAAATAAAATTAAAAAAAAAATTAAAAAGTAAAAAAAAAATATTAATCTCAAAAATCAATTAAATTCAATACAAAAAATAAAATTAAATAAAAATTAGACACAATAAAGTAAACTAAGACAACATAGTATTTAAAAATTAAAAAAAAAAAATAAATTAAAAAAAAAAACATAATTTAAAATAAAAGATTCAAATAATTAAACGAAATAAAATAAAGTATAATGAAAAAATTAAATTATAAAAGTTATCAACAAAATAAATTTAAAATTTAAACAAAATAAATTAAATAAAACGAAAAAAAATAATAATAAGAAAAATAAAAAAATAAGTAAAACATAACAGCATAATATTCAAACAATATTTAAATTAAATAAAAAATATATTTAATATATAATAGTAAAAAATATATTTAATATAAAATAATTAAAAATATGTTGAAAATACTAAACGAAATAAAAAAAATTAAATAAAGTATCATAATAACTAAAATATTGCTTGTATTTATTCGTGTTTGCTTTTGAGTTTATTTATCTTTTTCACTTCTTTTATAAAAACAACTGCACCTAATGAAACGTGTTTTCTTAATATTTTTCGTAAAGATCTTTAAAAAAACAAACGTGTGCATATGCACTAATTCATGATTTATTATTTAACGACGATTTTCGTTTTACAATTCTTTACCTTACCCAAGAATGCTTTGGCTGAAAGTTTTAGAAACAAGGTGCTCAGAGTTTCAGAGAATATTTTCTTAAGCAGAATGCTAATTTCATTATGAAAAATTAAAAAAAAAATGTGATAATAATTTCTGACCTTTACATAAAAAAGCGCAATAAAATTTTTTTTCAGATAACAACAATGCTTTAAATAATAATATCAATATAAAATAAATATCAAACTTTCATTTCCAAGTTGCCCTGGAATATGTTCCGAAATCTATTTCTTTAAAACTAAAATCTTTTTCAAAAAATGCAACTAGAAAATTTTAAATTCAACTAGATTTCGGCAAGAAGAAGACTGCAAAGCACACAAAAATAATAATAAATTAAAAGATAATTATATATACATATGTCTATATGAAAGTATGTATATCTAATTTTTTAAGTGCCGTTATCTTAGGATATTCCTAAATAAAAAAACACTAACTTAATTATTATACAAAACTCTGAGCTAAGCTGTAAGCGTATATTCAGTTACACATACATATGTATACATACAAAACAACAAACCAAATAAGACATATTTTGTCATTTTCCGAAATACTTCTGTGTCTGAGATTCTATGAAAAAAAAAACAATTAAAGCTGATTTCCAGTCAGTAAAATATACCAAATTTGTTTACTTTGTGTCAGCCACACCAAAAATGACATATGTATGTACATACATATAGAGCAAAACTATTTATTTTTTGTCACATTTGCAATACATAAATATACATAAAAGCGTGATACTCAGTTTAATAATACATACAAACGAATACTCTTAAGTGCGAGTAAATAAAAATTTATTTTTAGTTTGCAGTTAGAAATAATAAATTCCAAAGAAATTAAAAAAAAAAAATATGCCGCTTGAGCTTGCTAAAAATGGCAAAGCAATCTCCTTAAACGCCGATTTCTTTACACACATTTTTTAAATTTTTTTTTTTGTCTCTCTTTCTTTCTCTGGTCGCTCTTCATTCTTCTTCTTTTGTTACTAATCACTAATTTGTCTAACAAGCAAAATGTGGTTTCCATATTTTTAAACTTTTGTTCACGGTTTATAAACGTGGTAGGATATGTTTATATTTAACTTTTGTACACGTGTGCAGCGCGTGCTTTAAGCCCAAATTAACTACAGAAATATAAAATAAAAAGGAAAAATAAAAAGCTTAACTTAACTTTTGCGCGTGTTGGAGAATTTGTTTCGAAATGGTCTGTGGGTCAAAGACACGTTCGCAGTTGTAGTTTTTGTTTGTTTCAAAAATATTTAACAGTAAATTACTTAAAAAAGGATGAAATCAAAGGAAAGAAGATAAAATAAATTAAAACAAAATGAAATTAAATGAATTAAAAAAATCAAATTAAATAGAATGATGAAAAATTTTGCAAAGAAATTTTTTTGTCACAATTTATTATTTATTTATTTCTTCCTATTACTATTACTATTATTTTTATTGCTATTATTACTGTTATTATTATTATTATATTATTTATATTTATAATTATCATTATTATTATTATTATTATTATTATTATTATTATTATTTTTAATTTTTTTATTATTATTATTATTATTATTATTTGTATTATTATTATTTTTTATTATCATCATTATTAGTATTAAGTTCAGGCTACCGCCGGGCTCACAGCCGGCAGATAGTGAACGACTTACCTCAGGTTGGCCAGCTGCGACCCAGCAAAGGCGGTTTCAGCTTAAAATGATCAAAATGTCCTATGTATTTATTTCCACAATCGTTATGCTGCCTCGACCTACCCTAAATAGGTCGATAAATCCAGTACAGGACTGTCCCGCATCAGGCAGTGGGTTGGTCAGCGTTTTCTTCACTATGATAGGAATGGTTGTTTTAACTAAGCAAGATCGATGCGCGGTGTGACGTACTGGTAGTATCAATAAAATGATTCTCGATGGTTTCTTTTCAAAAGGTGAAAGGTCAGATTGCTCTGCCGAGGTGTTAGTCACGTCGTGTATGCGGAGCCAACCTTGGTCAGGAAGTGTAAAGTAAACGCAGTATTACTAGCCTGCTTAGCGATCTGTGGTAGAAAATATTGCCTCCTGGGATAGAATCGTACCTGACTTTTTTGGACCCATTACCCCTTCTAGCGAAGCGCTGGTTAAACAACTAAGATATAAAATATAATATAAAGAAAAAAACTACATAAAAAATAATTGAACTAGACGGAAGTAAAGAAAACACTGCTATCAAAACAGGTGAAATAATGAATATTACAGACCCAGCGGAAAAAACCATGGAGCAGAGCGCTTCTGAGCAGAAGCAAAGTAAGACGCACACCGGTTACTCTATAAAGAGCCACAAAGCCAGGAGAAGAGATTCGTTCGACACCGAGGTCATCGGTGGCTGGTTCAACGTTGAGAAAAGCGCACCTACCGCAGGAATTAACACCGCAGACTACAAATACGCCGCCAACAGCGCAAAAGGCGCAGACACTTAGTTCCCACTGCAAGCGCTCTTCATTAAGATAAGATTAGCAGAAGAAAATGCGCTATTGAAGTGCCGAGTGACTCTACAAAAGATGAAACGAGCAATTACAAAGCAAAAAAAAAAATGTCAATCTTGGCTGAAGCGCCGGATTCAGAGAAAGTTCTGGACATTATCAAACGACTGGCGGAACTAGATGAAAACAGAACCCGAAACAAAACGAGCGGCTGCCTTTAAGGCCGGATTCAGAGAAAGTTCTGGATATTATCAAACGACTGGCGGAACTAGATGAAAACAGAACCCGAAACAAAACGAGCGGCTGCCTTTAAGGCACAGTAGGAACTACAAACAGAGGAGTTCAACA